TACTTTTATGTCAGATTAGTTATAGTATCAGTATGTTTTTACTAGTCTGTAATAAAAATTGAAAAGAAGTTGAAAGTATGTCCTACCACCTGTCAATTAGATGTGTCATTTTTTAAGATGTATCAGTTTTCTTAATCAGTGCATCTAAGCAAAGCATGACAAAAAAAGAAATTATAAACATTAGGTGGCTTTAAGTTGGCAGTGACATTATGCTGCCAAGCACTTCACTCACATCGCTTATTTATTTTTCACCATACTTAAAATGCTAACCATCTTGGTACTCTACACCAAACAGAAGTCACATTCAATATTGGAGGCAGCCACACTTCAGAGTGACTACCACATGTAACAATCAGAAACAAAGGGAACCTAATGTTTACATTAAATAGACAAATGACCTAAGAATGATATGATATGGGATAAATTAGGATAGCAGCAAAGAGTTCAGTGCGTGTTGGCAATCTCAGATGGTCCCACTGTAAACTATATTGAAACTAACAGGTGGTCAATATCATGAGTACCCTCAAATCAAAAACATATCCAGTGATCTTTACTAATTTTATAAATACATATAGGTTTAATTTTTAATGTCTTCAAATTTTACTTATAATTATTTTTATGGTTATTTTTTATATTTTTTTTCAATTGACACAAAATATTTGTGCATATTTGTGGGGGTATAGTGTGACTTTCAATAAATGTAAATAATGTGTAATGATCAGATAGGAGTAATTGGCATTAATCATTTCTTTGCGCTGGAAACATTCAAAATCCTTTCTATTAGCTATTTGGAAACAGTTAATTAATTGCTGTTAACTATAGTTAACCTATATAAAACGTTATATAGGTGTTATAAAACGTTAGAAGTTACACCTCTTATCAAGCTCCACTCCTGTTCTGATTAACCACCCTCTCTTCATCTCCATCTCCCCCCACAACTTTCTCTGTCCCTAGTAACAACTATTCTATTCTCTGTTTTTAGCTTTCATAAATAAGTGAGACTATCTGGCATTTGTCTTTCTGTGTCTGTATAACTATAAATCTCATAAAGCTTTCCTACTTTACATTGGAAGCAGCAATAACACAGATTCATAGATCTTACATTAATTCATTTGATATTTAATTATCAAGAACCTATTAAGTGTAAGAGTCTATGCTAATCTTTGGACTACAGCAGTAGCCAAAACAGAAAACTCCTGGTGTCCTTACAGGGCTTCCATTCTAGAAAAGGGGGGCAGTGGAGGTAGTGAACAAGGAATATAAAAATTAAGTAAATCTTAAGTAGAGAGTAATTAGAACTACAGAAAAAGAGAAAGTACAGTAACATCCAATGTGGACAATGTGGAGTGGGGATGAGCAGACTATAGCATTAAAAGTGAGGTTAAAGTAAGTGTGGTTGAGAAGGTAACATGTGAGCAATTAACTTAAAGGAGGTGAGAGGGTTAGCCAGAGGCATACTGGGGAATGGTGCTCTAGGCAGAGGAACTGGGTAGAGCAGGCTTTCTAAGATGGGAATAGGACTGCACCCTGAGAGACTGTTTTCAGGATTTGTACCAGGGAATAATATGTGCCAGGCAAACTCAAAGTGTTTAATGTGTACATGTAACCCCCAAATAACCTTATGATATCAGTGTAATTGTAAATTATTTTCTAACAAGTGAGAAACTTAAGCACAAAGAAGTTGAAGGATCATACCATTTTGAATTGGTAGAATTAGGATCCAGTTCTCAGAGTCTGATTCCACAGGAGCACTGGATAGTTAGAGCTTTAGATGTGATTTGAACAGGCCACACATGTGCATTCATGCTCACAGGTCTGCAGACACACCCACACGCCCACAGTGCTGTGTACACACTCAGTGGAAGAGAGCTGACAGGGGAGAGGAAGACAGTCTGCTGTCCACATTCTATTCCTCCTATTTCATGTTGGATATTTTTTTCTTTTGTAAATTTCACTTCTTAACCTTCAGATTGAAATGTTTATGTGAAAGATGTTTAAATTGTTTGAAAACAACTGGAGTTATTTTCAGAATAGCAAAACTAAATTAAAAATTCTTATTGTGTAACATAAATATTATGGAGATATATACAATTTATTTTAAATAAAGAGAACAAAACCAAAGTGCTCTCACTGAAATGAAACAAAGTGCCCTAAGAAATTCTTATTAATCTACAGAAAAAATATGAGAACATTTTCCAAAAAAAATACAACAAGCTTTCATCTAAACTATTTACTTTGGAGAAATCAATACAAAGGCATCATAAATCATGATTTATGACTCATGCCTCCAGAAAATGAAGATAAATGTGTCACTGAGATATTTTTCTGCATTAATCTCTTGGTTTTAACACAAAAATACTACATTTCTTTCCCATGCATATTATCACTATGAACTTTTGAAAAATTCTTTAATTATATTGTTACAGATAATTCTACATAAATTATAATTCTTGGACTAATTCAGTATACACCAAATATATATGAATGAGACTATATATTAATACCTGAAATATAACATTCTTCAAAATGTGTAATAAATTGTATAAAAACTGACTTTGAATTCCTTTATATCAGGGTCATGAGTACTGCATTCAGTAAAGTGAGCACCACACAAATGTATTAAATATCAGTTAAAAAGCAGCTTAATCCTATTTATTCAAAGAAAAATTATCCAAATGTTTAGTTCTACCTTAAAGTATATTGATGAAAAGAATACTTTTCATAAAATCTTGCAATAAAAACAAAATATCTTTCCCTAAAATAGTGTAAAGTCTGTAACTATAATATTTTAAAATATCCTACAATTTCATAATAGCCAGAGAGATAGGAAAGGAAACCTTTCCTCCAAATGGTCATAATTACCAGGAAATTTTGAACAAGAAAATCCGGACAAAAAAATTCTTTATGACAGATAAAGAAACAGTGAGGTAAAATACCTCCCAATGATATTCCATAGCACTTCCAGCATCAACATGATTTGTAGAAAATTACTTTACTTAAGTTATTTCTTCAGTTACTTTTCTTGCCTCTTATCCATTTGAATTGCTTAAACCAAACTCTATGAAATATTATTTAGAGAACTTTTCAAAATTTAGGTATCTTTATACCAAAAACACACATATACATAGTAAATATGAAATGGTGTTTCCTGTTTTGTCTTCTTGATTTTTGAGGTTCAAAGAACTTACATTAACAAGTTTTTAAAATTTGACTCTGGTACAATTTTTCTTGACATCACAGAAAGTCAAGACAAGACTGGAAGGCTATCTGAATTCCTGAACAATGATATACATCTCCCAACACTCCAGGGACTTTATACTACATACTATGTTTGTGCTAAGAATATGATCATTTTTCATAGATTTAAAACTTACCAATTAATAAAAATTTCCCAAAGAGAATAAAACTTACATATGAATATAGAGAAAGAAATAGTACTTGATATAAAGTAGCAAACAAATTCTAATGAGAGCTGAGTGACAGGTTAAAAGGGAAGGTGATTTCTCAATGGTTGAAGAATTGCAATAAGTGTAAGGTGGTCTGTGCATTTTGGAATTTTAGTTTTGGGGTTGAAATTTATTACCAAAAACAAATTCAGGGTAAATGGAGTATTACTAGGTTTTATGCTTGGATTCTAAGATGAAAAAAACTTAAATGTTTACATGTTTCCACTATATGTATAATTTTTAAAGATGATGAAAAGCATCTTTACATCCTCCGTCCTTAATATTCATTCATATTTATGCAATAGTGTTAATTTTAACAATGTCCTAGCCATTGCTCATAAACAAATGCTCTGATTTGCATAAAATTGGTTAACTTACATTTCATTTTATGGTCATTTTTTTTTGATGTGTCCATTAGGTTAGGCTACAGTTCCATTTATTCTATCAGACAATAAAGTCTGTTGGGATATTCCATCAGACAATACAGGGTGTTGCTTTGAAGATATTTTGGGGATGTGATTAAAGTTCATAATCAGTTGACCTTAAGTAAAGAAGATTATCTTACATAACTGGAATGCTCTGGAGTCAATTTGGTGAAAGGTTCTAGAAGTTGAACTGAAGCTTCCTTGAGAGAAGAAATTTTGCCTTGTGTTCAGCAGTTTCAGTTCATGACAAGAAAAATTTAACTAGCCCTTCCAGTTGGGTTGTCTGTCAGATTTCAAACTTATTTATCCAGGCCTGACAACAATGAACCCTAATTCTAAACAATAAATCTATTTAACTCTTATTGTTTTTTTTTTCCTGATTGAATACCGATTGATAAAATTCCAAATTGAGGGGAAAAAAGTAAGGTTAGTAAGTTGCAAAGATTTCTGAGCACCCCACCCTAGGCTGTGTTTACATGTGCCAAGAGACTCAAATCAGACAGACATACATGTTTGTTTATATAAATACCCATTGTCTGTCTCTCTGTCTCTCTGTCTCTCTCTCTGTCTCTCTCTCTGTCTCTCTCTCTGTCTCTCTCTCTCTCTCTCTCACACACACACACACACACACACACACACACACACAAACACACACACATACTCTTAAATTAAAAACAGTAGGTTTCCACATGGTCAAATTCATATGTTTAACAGATCTGACATTTATGACAGATTTAATCAGTCAGAAGCATCAACAAAAGATAACTATGCAACAGGAGACCAGAACTCAGAGCACATTCTAAATAATAAAGTGATTTATAGAAGGAAGTAGCCACGCGACATTACTTACACCAAAGACATTTCACACAGTTTGATACAGAGCAACAATTATTTTAAGAAAACAAACAAAAATGTTTCTCCTAAAGGATAATAGATATTGCTTTTCCAACCAAAAAAAAAAAAAAAAAAGGAAAAGAGTGGTTTTAACTTTTATAATATTAGTCAAATATTTCCATCACTCTAAAAACCTACATCAGTAAATTTTTGAAGTTGACAAAAAATAACTTAGAAAACTCAAGTTTATCTAGACAAGCTAATTTTCCCTGCATTCTCTGCTACCCTTCCTTACCTGGACTGCATATCTTGTTGGGTTTTGGCCTGATTGGCTTCCGACTGAGGCGAAGTGTGAGTGACTCTCTGCTGAAGTTCCACCAAGGACTGGTAGTACTGTTGTTGATGGTGTTGTTGCTGTTTGTAGCGAGACAAACTAAAAAACAGTCCTAGAATGGCTTTTAGGTTTCCATTTCTTATTTCTGTAGCAAATGGAAAATACAAAAAACAGTATCATATATTGAATATATTCTTTAACAAATGAAATTCTAGATGCAATCCTCTTAAACCAAATCTATGAAGACAGAACTATGACTTCATTGTCTTGGTCACAGTGTCAAAGGAATCTGGATTTCTGGGAACATGCTGACATTCCCAAGTAGCTAGGAATTTCAGGAAGAGAATGAAGGGATGAAGGAAGAGAGAACAAAACTCACCTAACAGAAATGCTGTTTTATCTGACCCTGAACTACAATTTTCCTAGAGTTAACTTCTTGGAAATGGATGTGCTTGCTCTCTTGTGCTAATCATTTGATTTAGTGCTCTGATTTCTTCACAAATAAATACACACAGCTGTTCCCAACATTGCAATGACTATGAACTAAAGAAAACAAACTACTTAAATTTTGTTTATCTTACATTTATAAATACTTATGGTGTGGGTATGCCTTAGTTGGATTTAGAGTAGCCAACATTCTTTCTAAATTACCCACTGATCAATTTATTTTACATATGTACATATGTCTATATCTTCCAAATTTACATATATAATTAACAAAAGACTATACTGTATCAATTTTAAAGTTCCAATCTTTCTATTTTAATTCATGTTATATATTATTAAATAATAAATATCAGCTTATGTCACACTAAATAACAAAAATGAATAAATATAAGTAGAAATCTAGTTCTAACATGAAGGGCAGATATTGAGTAATAACATTTTGAATAATGATTAAATTTACAAAGTCAGCTACAACATGAGCCTACTTTTTCTTCTGCATTTATAATGTAACAATTAGAAAGAGAAGTAAGAAAAACTTCAAATAAAACTATATAACCTCTTATCATATTTTAAATAAAACTTGTTATCGTCAATAAAACACATCTACCTCCTTGGTCAAGAGTTTAGGAGCACTAACAGGCTATTTGGGTTTCTTGATCTTCTGATTGTTTATTTGTTCACCCAAATGATGCAGTGGGAAGAGTCCTGTAAAATGTGCCACTGAACTGTTCTTTTACTCTCCAGTGCCCCCTCTGTTTCCATAATATAGAAAAGTTGTCTTCATCAATCTGAAGATATAGTGAGAAACTATTAATCTTACCCTATAAACCTCAATGATCTTGCTTGCAGAGTGTTTAAGAAAATTCATTGCTATTATGCATTTTTAATTCAGAACATCATTTTGGAGCATCATATAATTTTAAAAGACAAGTGGTAGTAACCTTATATTGATAAAGGTTATCATGTGAAAAGGCAGAGACATAAAATGAACATTGGCAGCATTTATAGCCTGCCTTTACCCACTTAGAAAGCAAAATATTTTCCTGGGAAATTTTATTCAATTATTATTCTAAGTAACAGAGTCACCAGTTAGGTTTACACCTAAGCTTACTGGCCATAAATCTATAGTTTAATTATGTAGCATAGCATATAAATATGAAAGAAACTTACAGGAAAATTAAATACAGAAGGGAAACTGAACAAAGTAACTAACTAGTAAATGTCCATTATTTCAGAAGCATACAACTTCTTTTATTCTAATGACAACAAAATTATAAAAACTTAAAATGGTCTAATATTTCTAATAATGCTGGCAAAAGCTTTTCAAAGCAAATTAATGGTAGTGAAAGCTGAACTATTAAAGTGTTTAGTAGTATCTAAATCATAACTTTAAATACATAAATCATATTCTAACTAAAAATTACTATTCTTGATGCAGGTTCCAAAAGGACTTGCTATTTCATAATCTCAACAACTGATTTTTACTAACAGCATTTGAATATTTTGCAAAGGTCTACTAAAACTTACCAAATTTTGTATTTTACTTAGTACTTTTATCATTAATAATTCAAATACACAAAAAGCTTATAACACTTTAATACACCTGACACATAAGATTTAAAGTGACAAATGACTAGATGGAATAAATATTGATGAAGAATAAAATGACAGATGATGGAGGGAAGGAGATAGAAACATCATTTATTTTCAATTGTGGCAGTTTTTCTAATGTATGCTAACTTTTTACAAAATTTTGCCACTTCTATATGTGGAAGAAAAAGAGGCTCTAAAACAAAGAAATAATCACAAGAGTAATTCAATCTCTTTCCACTTTGATATATTTCAATTTTTGTGATGATTTTTCAAATCTCTAATGATTTTTAAATGTTTACATATAATAGTGGTTAAAACTATTCCTATAATCATTTAAGACTCATGGTGACTTATTTAAACTTGAAAATGTTTGGCTATGACTACTAACTTTATTATACTATAGAAATGTTACTGATAAAATCATATTTGAGTTTTATTTACACTATTTTACCTGCATTTATGTCCATTTGTTACCCAACATGGATCTAGCCATCTATTCATCTACTTAGTAATCTAAAAATACTCAACATTAGTTATTACACATAGGCTGTGTTGATTCACCCCCATCCCATGAACACAGTCACAATAACAAAAGTTATTCTGGAAAACATTTAAGTGATTAAAATATATATTAATTACCATTATGTTCATATTTCTGTTATTTTGGAAATATATAAGTTTCCTTTAGCATGTGAAGGAGTTATATATTCCAAGATTATATTTCTTACATTACAAAAACTCTTAGATAACAATAATGCCACTTGTGACTACATAGTACTTTTCCTTACCTTCAGCAGAAAGACCTTGAACATTTACTCCTCTAGCTGCTAGAAAACTAAGGCAGACATCAACATTTTCAATCTGCAACATGAAAAGCAGTGAAAAAGGCAAATTAGAAGGTTGTTTTTGAATAAAAACATGAGTTAGAATGAAACCAGAAAGAAAGATAAAGAATGGATACTTTACATTCATTTCATTCTAGAGATCTCTTTACCAGAGTTTAACTAGAATTATTTTGGCTAATTACAGAGTGAATATAAAGCCTTCATTGTCCAGTTTGACAACTACAAACAATTCATAAGGGCCTGGTCAAGAATGGCATTTTGGTAGAGTAGCAACCCACCTACTTAACATAAAGCCAGATTTTGTGCTTTAATGAGTGTCAATGAAAAATCTCCAAATGGGATGAGATTGCCATATGTGTCTCAGAATGTTAGGACAGTAGTAACAGAGTTCAGCCAGTAATACTGTTAAGGATTCCAAAAGAATATTGAAAAATAGACAAGTGGAAAAACAGTTGTTAAAATGAAAGAAATGAGGCACATTTTCATTCTAAACCACAGAAAATCTTTATTTCAGAACTTGTATTTATATTTCTACAAAACTGAATAATCCTATAGTAAATAAAGGTATTAACTTTTCCATCTTAAAAGGGTGATATCCATACTTGTTTAAAAAAATAATTATTGGTACATTAAAATTATACAAGGTCATGGGATTCATTATGCAATATTTGTATATTCACATAATATATTTTGTTATATTCTCATTCTTCAGTACCATCCCTTTCCCTCTGATAACCATTTAGGGTGAGGGGAAAGGAAAGGAAGAAAAAATGACTGACTTATTTTATAAGTAAGAGGCTGATCTTAATATTGGCCATGGAGTTACACAACTAAAAGACTTTCATAAAAGTACAGAAAGCTAGAAAATTCCATATCTTTGTGAGCCTTTAAAAAAACTATTCTATGAATCTTGGAATTCTAAAGTAAATAAGAAATGTAAAGTTAATAAATTAGGAAGGTATTAACTTCTGTCTTATTAAGCTCTTATCAAAGGCCAAGCATGAAGACATTTAACGTTCTGCCAGTGTCCACTTTAACTTAGAGTCATAGTAAGGTCAAAACATTTCTTTAAAAACTCAAAAGGAAAGATAAATTTATACATTTATATGAAATCCATCCTTATAAAATGAACAAACCATATTCCTTTTTAAGTGTAATTTTGCAAAAAATTAATGTAATAGTCAATGAGATATCCTGTGATTGAAAATGGACACAGCCAAGGTATACACATTTCCTTTGAGGTAAAAAAGATTTTTATATTAATTCACTTCGTTTTACTGCTATATTTCTACTGCAAAAAATAATAGAGTTGAATGTGCTGGTAACAATACAGCCTAATGTATTTTATCTGCCTATTAGTATCTGAATATCCAGCAAGGCTATAATGTTGAAATACACATCAAATCCTCTTTTTTGTTCTCAGTTCACTTTGCTACTAGAAAATAATTAAATAAGAAATAAAAGGAGGAGCAAAGAGAAGAGGAAATGGATGAAACTGCATGTCCTATATCCATCCAGAGCAGTCTTTTAATTCTTCAAGTCCATTTAAGTTTTTAAATAACAAGTGTTGATTGTGACTTAATATTGAAAAAAATGGATAAATATTTTTAAATGTTTGAAATAACAGTCCTGATGTTATTAATTTCATAGCAATTATAAGTCTTTTGTAGAAAATAGAAAAAAATCTGACTTAAATATGCCATTTACTGAAAAATATTAACAGGATGTTATCTCCTAAATTTGAATTACTTTTATGGTAGATGAGCAGGTTAGTTGGGTGGGACATCCACAAAATACTAATAAATAGAGCCTTTAAGTTTGTAAGATACATTTTTCAGTCTACTTTTTAGTCAGCATATGAAATAGACTGATATCTAGATTGGGTTTTAAAAACACGTGGCACTACATCAACGTGAACCACAATTAGAAAAGAACCCTGGGGCTGGGGCTGGGGCTGGGGCTCAGTGATAGAGTGCTTGCCTGGCATGCGTGGGGCACTGGGTCCCATCCTCAGCACCACGAAAAAATAAAATAAAAGTATTGTGTTCATCTACAACTAAAAATATGTATATATATATTTTAAAAAGAATTTTATAGCACACTTTTTTATATCTCTGTATATAAAGTATGTTCACACCAATTCACGTCTTCATACACGTACTTTGGATAATGATGTCCATCACATTCCACCATCATTTCTAACTCCCTGTCCCCTCTCTTCCCCTCCCACCCCTCTCCCCTATCTAGAGTTCATCTATTCCTCCCATGCTCCCTCTCCCTACCCCATTATGAATCAGTCACCTTATATCAGAGAAAACATATAAAACCCAAATAGAGAAAAGTAAAAAGCAGTCCTAATTCTTTACAAGACTATTTCTCAGGAGCATTCACCTTTTTTCCTCTATGTCATTCATTATGAGCACCAGCAACCTAAAATAGTTCTATCAGGTCTCCATTATGACTATGATAGCTAAGTAACAGCAAGAGAATAAATATTTGAATATTGTTTCTAATATATCAACTAAAGGCTAATTTATTTAAAACTCATTTACTTATTCAATAATATTGTCCCAGGCCTAAATGAATTTTCTAATAATATAGTAGTATAATAAACATAACTTTAACATCTTTTCCCTGATTAATTTCAGTCCTATAAATTCAATCACACTTGTTAGTATTATGCTACATTTTTTACACAATCAAAATATATTACAGTATAAAGAAATGGCTTTGAGAAATCTTATTAAATTCCATTTATGTAGTCAGTTTCCTCACCACAGGCATACTTGAAAATAATTTGAGTGGAATTTGTAACTATATGATATCATGCTTTAGTTACTGATTATTTTTACTTTAATAAATTCTAGAGATGATCTTTTTATTCCTGCTGTTTTTAAATACATCATCCTTAAATATATTCCAGTTAAATAGACCTACTATAAATATTGTTTTGATTACTTTTTTCCATATGAACTCACAAATGTTCTTTGAACTACAAACCTCTTAACTTTTGGGGAAACTTACAAAGTGATATTTTCTACTACATTATATTAGCTTCTGCTAAATCTATTTAAGTGTTGATTAAGAATTGCTAGATGGACTTTCAGGGTCCATTAATGGATGGTAAGTCACAATTGGAAAAACATTTCCCTAAAGAAAACCAGAGCATTGCCATGGCTATGTTGCCTCTTTTTATGTGGGGAGATTATATTCATTAGCTAATAACTAGCAAATCATGCTCAGAAGCAAAGTCTCTCCAAGATTTAATTAAATTAGATACTTAATGAACAATATTTAAAATACAGGCTATATAATTATGGTTAACTTTTACATGTCCCCATATCTAGTACCTGAACAAGACATTTACTACTTCTTTCAGCCCCTTTTAATTTGTCTAGATACACAAATAAAGGAAAGAATTGAGTTCTAATGTGATTTAGTCCTTAATAAGCAACCAATTATTTGTCCAAATTTAAACTATTTCAAAATAACTAGGTTATTTGGCAAAGTTATTCTTTTCTTGATCTCCTCCTCACTCCCCCTATTTAGTTTGTGAGCATGTAGAGTTGTATGCCAAGCTCTCATAGGTATGCTTACTTATTTGTTCAGGTAGTTTTGATTTTATGAAGACGTAAGCTTGAGACCTTCAGTCTCTGGAAAATGGGAACCATGTTTTATTGATCCAGATTCTATAATATAACATGAATTTGATAGTATTCAAAAACAATTTCTGATCTTTGGCTGTTGTAAGTCAGGGAAGAAAATATCTTTATTCTGGAAAAGAAAAGTTGATAATGACAGTGGAAAGCCAAAACCCACTGATAACAGGCAAACAGCTGAGAAATAGAAATGTCAAAGGATTAATCAAATTTGGGTGAGCTAACAAAACATGTAGACATACCAATATTCCACAAATACTGAAACTATGTATGGAAGGAACTTGCTCCTAATATATTTTGAGCTTAAAAAAGTAATTTCAAAGAATTCACATAACTGCAGAGCCTATGGAAGTCTCACAAGACCCTTTCAATATAAATAATGAGATGGCATGCAGATAATAAATGTCATTACTTAGAAGATTCAGTGAAATTATACATGGAAAGCATACAGCATGATACACTGCCTATAGAACAAAATGACTCAAGAAACAAGAAATGAATTATGGTTATGTATGTCATTAATACTAATAGTTAGTGGCTATGGTATAAAAGCCCACCTCTTTTGCTTTAGGCCTTATGTCAACCTGCCTAAGAACTGTACATGTTGCATTAACCCTGCTAACCCATATTTTTAATCCAGAGATTCTTAATCTTTGTTGTACATAAGAATAAATAGCATAACTTTAAAATCCACAGATGCCCAATTTATATTCCTATCAGTTCAAACAAAATGTCAATATATAGGAGCCAGTTTCACTTCCTGGGTGATTTCAACTCCCCAGAAATCTTGGAAACTACAGCATTAATCTATGCTCTTCAAAATAACTGTATATATTTTCAGTGTACTCCCATGTTGATGCAGGAATCCCACTGCTAAGACCTAGCAATACATTGTCTTTGGTTATTTGTGTCATGGTATAACATAAGTTATGCATTTTATACTTTATTCTCATGATATTAAATATATATAAACAAACATATATGTGTGTATATATTTATATATAAAAGGATATACATACATATATACATACAAAGAGAGATATTTATGTAATTTTTAAAAGTGTACAGCAGTAGTACAAAGAAATTTATTCTGAGTTCTGTAGGCACCACATTCTTCATTTGGCTCAGGTAATAGTCACATTGTAGCTTATGAACAGTCACTCCAAAACTCTTGCTTGTCTACTGTTAAGTTAAGCATAATTTTTTTTGTCCTGTCTTCTATTTGTGACTTTCCTTTTTTTTTTTCTTTTTCTTTTTTGGAATGGAACACCTACTTTCCCTCTCTGTTTCATGTTAAATTTAATTATAATTAGGTAACTATGAAAACACTGATATAATGAAAATAGAATAAAGCATC